ATTCTTAATAAGGAAGAAAAATGTTGAACGTCTTGACTGATCAGTGGAAAACCTCGTTTCGGATTTGGTTTACAAATTCCAAGTGGTAAAAGCCCTAGTGACATGAAAACCGTGTGCATCCAGGCCAAGAGGGTTTCCAGACTGACAAATAACATACAGTCCCGGGCACCCATTTATGAGTGTGCAAGGTTTGTATTTTTGTTCTGTGATGAACACTGCCTCGGAACTGAGGAGTTACCCTGCTCACAAATCATCTGTCTGTCACATCATCCCCCATCTCCTGCAGAATAAATTCTTGTGATGGGATTTTAGGCACCGAGGACAAATCAGTGGGGGAGATATTTTGGGGTGGTAATTCTTAAGTCTACCAAGTAGGTGGCTGCTGACTTGTACGCCTCCCCTTCTCACATACTAACGAGTGTGGGTTTGTGTTTCAAAACAGACACCCACAGACACACAGATTTTCTCTCTTTCTCCATCTATTTTGAGCTACTCAAAGAAACTGTATCCTGTTTTTCTCTGTTCGCTGCATGGCTAGCAGTGGAGGTTCAACAGATATTTGTTGAATGCATAAAAAGAAGTCTGTTCCCTGCCTCCTGAGGAAAGGAGTAATCCCTAATCATGAGTGGGGCCTTTGTGATATCAAACCATGGAAAGGCCATCTTTAATGGTCCTATGGAAGAGAGGAGGGGAGGGAAGGAGGGGCGTCAATGGGACTTGGAAACAGAACTTGTCCCTTCATTTATCAATTTATTCAACAAATATTTGTCCATCCTATGCCAGGCACTGGGTGTGCAGTGATACAACAGATGTGATCCTGTCTTCATGGACCTCATAGTCTACTAGAGAGCCAGATAAGTAGAAATCGGCAAACAAAACAAAGTATAGGTGCTATGAAGGAAATAACTGGGTGTTAGGCATTAATAGGATGACGAGAGGAGACCTGTTTGAGAGGACACCTATGAGCTGAAATCTGAAAGATGAGAAAGTGAAGGAAGCAAGGAACTGGGTGCAGTGAAGGCACCAAAAGCAAGCCAATGGGGCTGTAGCAAGGTGAGCTCTGCCGGAAGGGGAAGGATCCAAGGACCATGGTAGGGGAATCAGATTTTATTCTCAAACTTCTTTAAGAAAACAGAAAATTGACCTCTGTATTCCCAACTAAGGAACTTAGTATGGTACCTGGCAGGCAGCGAGTGTTCAGAAAGTGTCGGCCATGATTATATGGAGAATACCCAACTAAATGAGCAAGGCTCGGTCAGAATAGTGGAACAGAATGAATAAAACGTGAGCGATGAAGAGATATTCATTTACCTGATAAATGAATACTTTTCATTTAGCCACTTGTCCACACAACCAAATTTCACTTACAAAAGGGAAGGCTTGTTTTTGGCTGACCCTCTAGTGTTCAATATTTCTTTGTTTTAAACAATCAAAGGACAGCAGAGAGGACTCTCCTTGTCAATTTTAAAAACAGGTAAGGTGAGGGGCGCCTGGGTGGCGCAGTCGGTTAAGCGTCCGACTTCAGCCAGGTCACGATCTCGCGGTCCGTGAGTTCGAGCCCCGCGTCAGGCTCTGGGCTGATGGCTCAGAGCCTGGAGCCTGTTTCCGATTCTGTGTCTCCCTCTCTCTCTGCCCCTCCCCCGTTCATGCTGTGTCTCTCTCTGTCCCAAAAATAAGTAAAACGTTGAAAAAAAATTAAAAAAAAAAAAAAAAAAACAGGTAAGGTGGATCATTTTCATCTGGTCACGTAAACCGGTGCAAGTTTTTACCTCAGGTGGCCATTTCAGAAATGAAAGTTACAGCTAATCAAACCCTAGCCCACATGCCTTAGTGATTTTAATGACACGATTTGTTGCTATGAGACAAAAACATGTTGTGCGGGAAATAATCTGTTAGAAATCATATGACCTTGATTCAAAGGCTTTTGATTAACAGCACTAACATCCGCTCTCTGGAAAAGAAAAAAACCCTATGATTAGAGCCTGGTAGTCCTTCTAAAGCAAATAAAACATTATTAGCTGCTTATTAACAGATATGGGAAGCAAAAATGGCTGCAAATATTAAAAACTTTCAAGGCCACTGGCAAAGTCTTTCTCCTTCCTACTTCCAGGAGAGACACTAGAAAAACACAATGGACTGCACATAAGTAGACCGTCTAGTGGCTTCTCTTTTTCTGTGTGTGAACTGTTGAATCTTCATTCATCCATTTTTTTTTTTAGCATCCCCGTGTGCCAGCACTGTGCTTGGAGACCTGGTGGCCAACAGACTCAGTCTGTGTTTTCACAGAGCTTAAATGCTAGTAGGGAAGGCAGACAAAAAGTTGACAAGAGTCATGACTACTCAAACATATGATAAACACCATGAAGAAAATAAAATGGGGTGGGGGGGTAGGATAAGGCAACTGGGGGAGGGGGTGGGCCTCTTTGAACAGGTGGTATCTGAGTGAGCCTGGAATGACAAGAAGCTGGTCTGTAAAGACGTAGTGCAATAATATGCTAGGCAGAGAGGATGACTATCTCATGGTCCCGGAGATGGGGACAAGCTTGGGTGTTCAAGATAAAAGATGACCAGGGTAGCTGGGGCTTGGTGAGCTTGTGAGAGCATACTAGGGGCCAAGGTCAAGCCCAGGAATCCAATCACAAAGGAGGATTTTAAGTGCCAGGGGAGATCAGAGGGTTGCCGCTGCAGCTGCTTTTGTAAATGGTCCACTGATGCAAGACTCCTCTAGAAGCAGGGCTGGTCCCTGCCTGGTGTTCTGATGGCAGTGGCCCTTTCTCCCCTTTCTAGCTCCGGAAAAGGAGCAGCAGTAGCAACCTGGCCATCTGGACCCCACTGAAACATCTGCCTGCTCCGAGAAGGCTGTAAAAACAAAATCTGTGTGGTATATCGTGTCCTGTGGTCCTGTGTCCCCACTCTTGAAGGTACTCTCCAAGTCCTGGTCTCCTTTATCAGCCAGGGGGCTGGGATAGATCCAGCAACCTACTCTTTCATCCCTCCTCTTGCCCCTAAATAGCAAGACCAGGCCTGAGCAATTGCAGGACAAGCATCAGGGTCAGGGCCAGGAGTCAACCTGGGTTGGAGAGGTGACAGGAAGGGCCTGGCTGGCATCCTGTGTCAAAGCAGACAATAGGTTGAACCCAGGGAACCGGACCATGTTTGAGAGACTGGCTTGCATGCGTTTCCAGGGTCACCCAGCCAAGTTTCCTGAGTCAGACAGTGGAGACCTGGAGGCAGTGAACATGCACATTATTTGTTTTCTGTCTCTATCTGAGGCTGTCGTTCCCTTGAATGCTCCCCTAAAAACGTCAATGGCTGCTGACCACCAAACTAAGAAGAAAATTCTCTGCTATATCCTCACCCCCCATTTTCTGGTTCCAACCTACCTTATCGGTGACTTTCTCACTTGCTGGCTTTATTTTGCTTTACATTTCTTCATGTATCCTCCCTCACAGCAAACAAGCTTTTATTATCACTATTATTATTATTAATTATTATTATCAGAAAAAGAATAAGGATCAAAAAATGTTTTGAAAAACAAGGTTCCTTCCTATTCTAACTGGCTGTGCCTGCTAGATCATCCAACCTCTTGGGCAGAGGTGGCAGTGCTTAGATCACTAGGCAGTTACTGGATAGTTTATTTTGCTGCGTTATCCACTTGGACCTCTCCGATCCCTCTGTAGGCTAGACCCACCCTTAAGATGCACCCCCACACTTACTGCTTAGATTCCCCACTCTTTTTTTTAAATTTCTTTTAATTTATTTATTTTTGAGAGAGAGAGAGAGAGAGAGAGAGAGTGCACACGCAAATAGGGGAGGAACAGAGAGAGAGAGGGAGACATAGAATCTAAAGCGAGCTCCAGGCTCCAAGCTATCAGCACAGAGGCTAATGCGGGGCTCAAACTCACGAACCACAAGATCATGACCTGAGCCGAAGTTGGACACTTAACCAACAGACCCACCCAGGCGCTCCATAGATTTCCCAGTCTTGAGCCCCTCTGGGCTCAGAGTTCCCTCAGAGGCTTCCTCTCATCCTTACTGCTTTCTCCCCATCCTTCCTCTGGCCTTGAATTCTCTTCCTTCACCTGGTCAGGCAGGATGCCCTCCTTCCCTTGGAACCCTGCTGCTCCTGGGCCTGGCTGGGACCAACTTTCTCTTGGGTTACACATGCATATAAGTCACCACCAGCCCTGGCTGTGTCCTGAGGTCTGCCCTTTTCCATAAATTTTTTTCCTAATGTTTATTTATTTTTGAGAGAGAGACAGAGACAGAGGAAGGGGGGGGGGGGCGGAGAGAGGATCTGAAGCGGGCTCCAGGCTCTGCACTGACAGCAGTGAGCCCAATGTGGGGCTCAAACCCATGAATCATGAGATCATGACCTGAGCCAAAGTCAGACACTCAACCGACTGAGCCACCAGGCCTGCCCTTATCTAACTGCCATGGTCCCAAGCACATGTAGGCTTCAAAAAGAGAAGAATAAAGGTCAGGAGGTATTGCCAACTGGTTAGCTACTTCCCAGAGTTTTCATGAGCCAAGTTTTCATTCATTTACTTCTTCCTTAAGAGGGAATGGTATATGTGCGTGTGTGAGTGTGTGTGTGTTGTGTCCACTTGGGGGAATTCTCTATCTTCCATGGAGGTCATTTCTCCTAGTCTTGTGTTCTGGAAATCTGGGAAATTATGGTAGGAATGGTGGTGTGAGCCGGTCCTCATGGTTAGATTATCCTAAATATCTTATTAAAATAGGGGCCTGGGGGGAGCTTCGTGCTTTCCAATTAGAACACCACACTCATGATTTCACAGATGTTTTTATTAAGGGAAAAAAAATGACTGACCGAAAACTATAAAAAAAAAAATAGTACAGAAACATGGCGGACATTACAGAGGTGGTAGCTGACATCTGGAACCCTCAGTATTGAGACAAAAATTGGCAGTGAGCTTATACTTTCACACGAAGGAGTTAGAATCGTTCTGCCCTGTTCACTTTGCTGTCTTCACCTGCAGGCGGCCTCGACCACCCTCAAGCAGCCTACCATCAAGTGTTCCAGCCACGCGGGCAGCCCCTCCCGGGAGCCAGCGGGCGAGGCCCACACCCTGTGCAGAAGGTCATCCTGAACTACCCCAGCCCCTGGGACCAAGACGAGAGGCCGGCACAAAGAGACCACTCCCCAGGGCTCCCAAGGTATCAGTATGACAGGGCCAACTTTCAGACTTTTTTTTTTTAAATGTTTATGTATTTATTTTGAGAGAGAGGGCGAGAAAGGGGCAGAGAGAGAGAGAGAGAGAGAGAGGGAGAGAGAATCCCAGGCAGGCTCTGGGTTGTCAGCACAGACCCTGAAGCGGGACTCGATCTAACAACCCTGGAATCATGACCTGAACCGAAATCAAGGGTTGGGGCCTCAACCAACTGAGCCACCCTGGCACCCCCAGACATTGTTTAACGTGAAAAAGAAAAAGAATGACACCAGTGGAATCAAGATGTATCAAAACTCTCTGTTGGTTTGTTGCCCAGGTTAGTGACCAAGCCACACAGGGGAATAGACTCTTTGAGTCAGGAGGAGATGGAAGCTGGTTGACAAGAATCTCTTTCCAACACATAGAGCCGCTGGTGACTAGTCAACATTCTTTCGAAGGAATGGCCCTTAAAATGCCAAGTGACATCCCCTCCTTCTATGGTCAAATCACCTGGCCTTTTAGCCCAGAAATAGATTTTTCTTTTTACTACGATTGACTTCTACCAATAGGATATTTGTTTTTTTTTTACCCTAGTTTCTACACCTGTTTAAACCCAAGTCTTACTTGGAAATTTTAAATTCGATTAGCTCCGAAGAGAAGTTTTTAAAAACAAAATTTTTGTTTTTGTTTTTTTATATTAGCATCCACACATATGGAACACCATTATTAGGTCTTTCCTATACTTCTTCCAGAAAACTACTTCTGGTATTTCTTGACTTCAGTTGTCTAAGTTTTAGTCATTTCTCTTTATTGTTCTCCTTTGACTCTTCTTCAAGTTTTCCTCTTCTCTCTCTTTGTTCTTGTTTAAGTTTATTTATTTATTTTGAGAGACAGCACAAGCCAGGGAGGGGCAGAGAAAAGGGAGAGAGAGAATCCTAAGCAGGGTTAGGATTCTGTGCTAATAGCACAGAGCCCAACGTAGGGCTTGATCTCACAAACTGTGAGACCATGACCTGAGCCAAAATCGAGAGTTGGACAAACTGAGCCACCCAGGCACCCCCCTCTTAATTAACAGATCTAAAATACAGAAGAATTTGTAAAAAAGGAGCTTCTTAATTTAAGACAAAATTGAAAAGAGTAGATGAAATGTTTGCTCTTGCTCAAGCACAATTTTTATAGACCAGAGTAAAATTATATTCTCTTTTGAGAAAAGAATGAGACACAAAGGTCATTGTAAAGCAGATTTTTCAGCAATGCAGAAGTTGGTAATTAGTTCAGCAACTTTATTAAAAGGAAAAAAGCCCACTCCGTTTACAATGGTAGATAAGGTGCATGCCTGTACCTTTATTCAAAAGCCCATATGTTCTCAGATTTTCTTTCTAGACAGAGACCTTATTATTCAAAAACAAAATTGCATGGAGTTTGAGGTGCCTGGCTGGCTCAGTCAGTGGAGCATTTGGCTCTTTTAAAAAAAATTTTTTTTTCAACGTTAATTTATTTTTCGGACAGAGAGAGACAGAGCATGAACGGGGGAGGGGCAGAGAGAGAGGGAGACACAGAATCGGAAACAGGCTCCAGGCTCTGAGCCATCAGCCCAGAGCCTGACGCGGGGCTCGAACTCCTGGACCGCGAGATCGTGACCTGGCTGAAGTCGGACGCTTAACCGACTGCGCCACCCAGGCGCCCCAGTGGAGCATTTGGCTCTTGATCTCAGGGTTGTTAGTTGGAAGCCTAGGTTGGGTGTAGAGATTACTTAAATACATATATACATACACACATAAACAAACTTTAAAACATTGCATGGAGTTTAAATAATGAAATTAACTAAAATGTGACTGTACAACCAGATAAGCATGCTTGCAGAAGAAATATCTGAAATTCCAAGAAAACAGACAAAATTTAAGCAACTTACTAGCATTGGATAGGAGAGACAATAGTAATTTTTTTCTAAAAAAAACATTGATTTTGAAATATTTTTAGATTTACAGAAGAATTGCAAAGCTAGTACAGAGTAATCGCTTTTGTAACATCAATTTGAGCCTGCTATGGTCTCCTTGGATTTATTTTATCATTTTAGGATAATGAAAAATAAATTCAGGTAATGAAGCTAATTCTCCTCTTACTGATAAATTTGAAAGGGAACCTTGACACAGAAACTTGCCTCTGTCATTCAATCCATGATATTGTTTTTATATGGAGGTTTTTTTAATATGATCAAAGCTTTGCGGCACCTCTTTCTTTGGAGACCATGTCTGCCTTGCACATACTACTTAGTCTTCCCAACAATAGGCTAAGTGTCTGACTTCGGCTCAGGTCATGACCTCAGGGTTCATGAGTTCGGGCCCCGTGTCAGGCTCTGTGCAGACAGCTCAGAGCCTGGAGCCTGCTTTGGATTCTGTGTCTCCCTCTCTCTCTCTGTCCCTCCCCTGCTCAAGCTCTGTCTCTGTCTGTCTCTCTTTCTCTCAAAAATAAATAAACATTAAAAAAAGTTACAAAAATATTATCAAAGCTTTAACATGTCTTTATCAAATGAGCAATTGTCTTCTATAACAACCAAGCAGCTTTCGATATAAAGGGAATTCATGCAAAAAGGATGTGGAACTGGATCTTCATTAGATAAAAGCATATTTTATGGAGATTTTTTTCTATACATTAATAAAAATATAAAATAAAAATAAGTTCCTCAAACATTCACACTTTAGAAATATAGTAAGTATTCTTGGGGCACCTGGGTGGTTCAGTTGGTTGGGTGACCAACTTCAGCTCGGGTTATGGTCTCACGGCTCGTGGGTTCAAGCCCCGTGATGGTCTCTGTGCTGACAGCCCAGAGCCTGGATCCTGCTTTGGATTCTGTGTCTCCTTCTCACTCTGCTCCTTTCCCACTCACACTGTGTCTCTCTCTCAAAAATAAAATAAAACATTAAAAAAAAAAAAAAGGAAAAATATAGTATACTTGAGATTCTGTGTAATTTTATTTTAAATCCTGTTGCATAAGAATTTCAAAATTTGTAATACTCTTTTGGGTAAAAATATGAGCACATGCAACAATCTACAAAAACTGGGCATATACACATGGATTTTGTCATCAAAACCGTTTTTAAAATTCAGAATATAAAGGGGCACCTGTGTGGCTCAGTCTGTTAAGCAGCCAACTCTTGATATTGGCTAAGGTCATGACCTCACAGTTCATGGGATCGAGCCCCATGTAGGGCTATATGCTGACATTGTACAGCCTGCTTGCGATACTCTCTCTCCCCCTTTCTCTCCTCTCCCCTGCTCGTGCTCTGTCTCTCAAAATAAATAAATAAACTTAAAAAATATTAGAATATAAAACAATCTCAAGCACACAACAAACAACAAACATCCACGTTCCCACACCCTAGATTTTTTGTATGTGAACATACTGCCATACATAGTCCAGAGCCTTTTTAAGGAAATAAAACATTACAGATGCAGGTGTAGTCCCCCTATCGGTCAGGATTCAGTTATAGAAAATAGCTATTTTCAGCAGAAAGGATTTAATGCAGGGAATCGGGTGCTTACAGAATCGTTGGAGGTTGGAAGGGCAAGCTTCAGGCCAGGCTTCCAGGAATGACCCCAGAGCAGCACCAAAGAACAGGATGCCAAAAAAGCTGCTTCCTCCGTCACAGTGGGAGAGGCAGAAGATCAGAAAGCCATCAGAGAACCCTCCATTCAAGGCCATGTCGCCATAGTACAGTCCAGGATCAGGAAGCCACCGGCGCTGCAGTTATTGGGTCCATTCTGTGCCTGCTGGATCTGCACTGGCCAACAATGGATGCCTCTGCCCTCACCTTGACATGGGAGCTGGTAATGGGACACTGGGGTGCTTCCCCAGGAACTCAGCACCTGATGGTAGCACTTATCAACAGAAACCACAGAAGTGGCAGAAGCATATTTCCTCTGGCTTTCCAGATCTCACATGAGTGCATCTGTGTGTTCCTCTCAGTACAATGTTCATGGGAATACTGGTGACCAAAACAAAAATAATACTAATAATAACATGTAACAATGTGGTAGAAACTTCATTAAAAGCTCCTCAAAATCAGATTTTCATCCATATATTAACAACATAAATACTTAAACCTACACGGCCTTTTCTACCTTTTGATACATAATGAAATGTTCTCTACCATGAGTTAAAAATCCTGTCTTTTTATCTGAATGCCTATAACACCAACCTTGTATGTCAACCATTATATTCCTTTTTTCTTTGGAGACCAGGTCTGCCTTGCACATACTACTTATCTTCCCAATTAGACAGTCCTTGCATGGAGAAATCGAATCTTCTGTTTCTTTTTCTTTTTTTTTTTCCTGTTCATATTCTTTTATTTTTTTAATTTTATTTTTTTTAATTTACATCCAAATTAGTTAGCATATAGTGCAACAATGATTTCAGGAGTAGATTCCTTAATGCCCCTTACCCATTTAGCTCATCCCCTCCCCCCCACAACCCCTCCAGTAACCCTCTGTTTGTTCTCCATATTTAAGAGTCTCTTCTGTTTTGTACCCGTCCCTGTTTTTATATTATTTTTATTTCCCTTCCCTTATGTTCATCTTTTTTGTGTCTTAAAGTCCTCATATGAGTGAAGTCATATGATATTTGTCTTTCTCTGACTGATTAATTTCACTTAGCATAATAGCCTCCAGTTCCATCCACATAGGTGTAAATGGCAAGATTTCATTCTTTTTGATTGCCGTGTAATACTCCATTGTGTATGTATATATATATTATATATATATATAAAATATATACAGGTATGTGTATATATATATAATATATACAGGTATGTATATATATTATATATATATAGTATATGTATACATAGTATATGTATATATACATCATATATATATATATATATATATATATATATATATATATACTATGTATACATATACATACACATATATATACCACATCTTCTTTATCCATTCATCCATCGATGAACATTTGGGCTTTTTCCATACTTTGGCTATGGTTGATAGTGCTGCTGTAAACATTGGGGTGCATATATCCCTTCGAAACAGCACACCTGTATCCCTTGGATAAATACCTAGTAGTGCAATTGCTGGGTCATAGGGTAGTTCTATTTCTAATTTTTTGAGGAAGCTCCATCCTGTTATCCAGAGTGGCTGCACCAGTTTGCATTCCCACCAACAATGCAAAAGAGATCCTCTTTCTCTGCATCCTTGCCAACATCTGTTGTTGCCTGAGTTGTTAATGTTAGCCATTCTGACAGGTGTGAGGTGGTATCTCATTGTGGTTTTGATTTTTATTTCCCTTATGATGAGTGAGGTTGAGCATTTTTTCATGTGTCGGTTGGCCATCTGGATGTCTTCTTCAGAGAAGTGTCCATTCATGTCTTTTGCCCATTTCTTCACTGGATTATTTGTTTTTTGGATGTTGAGTTTGATAAGTTCTTTGTAGATTTTAGATACTAACCCTTTATCCAATATGTCATTTGCAAATATCTTCTCCCATTCTGTCGGTTGCCTTTTAGTTTTGCTGATTGTTTCCTTCGCTGTGCAGAAGCTTTTTATTTTGATGAGGTCCCAATAGTTCACTTTTGCTTTTGTTTCCCTTACCTCTGGAGACGTGTTGAGTAAGAAGTTGCTGTGGCCAAGATCAAAGAGGTTTTTGCCTGCTTTCTCCTTGAGGATTTTGATGGCTTCCTGTCTTCCATTGAGGTCCTTCATCCATTTTGAGTTTATTTTTGTGTATGGTGTAAGAAAGTGGTCCATGTTCATTCTTCTGCATGTCGCTGTCCACTTTTCCCAGCACCACTTGCTGAAGGGACTGTCTTTATTCCATTGGATATTCTTTCCTGCTTTGTCAAAGATTAGTTCCCATACGTTTGTGGGTCCATTTCTGGGTTCTCTATTCTATTCCATTGATCTGAGTGTCTGTTCTTGTACCAGTACCATACTGTCTTAATGATTACAGCTTTGTAGTGAAGCTTGAAGTCCAGGATCGTGATGCCTCCTGCTTTGGCTTTCTTCTTCAGGATTGCTTTGGCTATTTGGGGTCTTTTCTGGTTCCATACAAATTTTAGGGTTGTTTGTTCTAGCTCTGTGAAGAATGCTGGTGTTATTTTGATAGGGATTGCATTGAATATGTATATTGCTTTGGATAGTATCGACATCTTAACAATATTTGTTCTTCCTACACAGGTCTTGCTCCATCTTTCGACCCCTAGCACAGGTCCTTACAAATGGCAGCCCGCCGAATTACTTATTGACTGAAATTCAATGGAGCAACCCTCATCCCTCTGGCTCAGGAAGGAAATGGAGGGAGAGGAGAGAGATAGCTCACTGGTATATTCCCATAGTTCTTAAAGGCTTTCTGTCTTGCTAGGTTTGCCTTTGTAAAAAAATGAAAATTTTTCCATAAATGTATTCCTTTCCAGGGACCAACTATATCATCAGCCACCTAATCGAGTGGGAGCTCCTGAGGAGTCCTTGGAGTGTCCTGCAGAGTTGAGACCACCAGCTCCCCAGGCTCCATCCCCAGCTGCTGTCCCCAGACCCCCTAGTAACCTTCCAGCCAGAGGAACTCTGAAAACAAGCAATTTGCCAGAAGAATTACGTAAGTTGTTTGCAATGTTGTTTTTCCTTCTTTTTTGCCAGGTCTTCTACTTGGCGAGTACTTGATGATTTTTCATCCCTGACCTTGGGTATTCCTCATACACAGAGTGAAATAAATTTCACTTCCTTACTTCTTGCTTTAAAACGTAACCAGCATTTTATATGAATCGTCTTTAGTGATGCTGACACTACCAGCAAAACTCACAAAATGCTCACCATTAGATTTTCTTAAACGTATGCTCCAACAACAAATAACTCCAACGCTTCTCTCTTCTAAATGATGCTCTTGGGTGGACTTGTCCCTGGGTAAATTGATTGGATGTCCATGTGGTATTGGCCAGGGACCTAGTGTTTCACCATAAATTAGCAACAGCCATCAGGAACGAGGTCATTTCCTGTAGGAATGAGCAATCTTGTTTGGAAAAAGTGGTCTCACATTCTCCATACTGTTTTACAACCAATGCAAACCAAGCCTTTTATTTAAAGAAACGTTCGACTAAGTGTCAGGTGATGATTCTTTTTCCAGATTTTGCAGCCAGAACCAGAAATGTTGAAATATCACCAAAATGTTCTCATATTAAGGTCAGTCAGGACAGTAAGTTCCAGAAATCTTATGAAAACAGCCACTACTTGTGAAATTGTTATATTCTGTTGTGCTTGCTAGAGAAGTTCAGGTAATTCTAATAAGCCCTTTAGAAACCTGGGTGCTTCTTCGAACCAAACTTGAAAATTAAGCCTTCTGCATTTGCTAACTCTTATTGGGGGAATCTGTGCTCATTAGTCATTTAGGGCTCTGGAAGATATCTATGGTAAGGATCCATTGTTGTTTATCATCCAAAAAATTTTTTTTAATCTTTTCAAAATCTTATACATTTTAATCTTGAGCACTTCTGGAGAATGGATGCTGTCCTGCATAGGATATAACCCTCATGTCAATCTACAGATCATATTTATCTTACCATAATCTTTAAAGGAGTCTGGAAATTCTTACCTAGGAATTGGTTGAATATTAGGTGTTAAGAATACATTGAGGGCCATCGATATGTCGGGCTGCTTAAATGAGTCAGTATGAGCATTGTACATGCTTCTATTTGAGATACTTGTTTCAAAAGTCCAGAGCCCAAGCATAGATGAATACATACAAACTCATATTTTCTCTCCAACCTTCCTTTCTTCTCTACCTCCTGCCCCAGGGACTTCCTGATATTGAGCTTGTCTCTTCCAGACTAAAAGCCAGCACACAGAGATTATTCATCTATCACATTAACATGCTACCCAGAAATTTCCCTAAGATTTTAGCCTGAGAAAACATTGGCATGCCAACCTGACTGGGTCAAGTCTATGGGCACAATGCCATCTGTTGCTCCAGGCTGACCCAGGGAGGAGCCAGAGAATAAGTGACACTGGATGCCCAGAGGTGGAATCTGTCCTTCAAGCTGCTGAAGTTCCTACTAACATTCCCGATCCATGCTTTGGTGTACCCTCATTTCCTGGCGTTTCTCCCAGCAGTGAGTGGTAAGGGGAAGGAGGTGGTAGGGAACCACCTGCTCCCTCTCCTCCCACTTGCTTTTGTTGAGCAAGAGCTCAGGGAGCAGAGAGCATCATGAGATCAAAAGAGGACACTGCTGGGTGGCCCCTTAGCAAGGTTCAGCTTCTTGGCTTGCTGTGAGAGTATTCCTCAGGCACAGTGCCAAGTGTCTCTAAGAAACCAGAAGGTGGCCTGATCTTAAGGCCCCTCAGGTTCTGGGTGATAGATGTTGTTAATGCATCGTGTGATTTTTCAGCAGACCTCCTTGGCTTGGCTCAGGCCGCCAGCACTGTTCTTCCCATGCCCACTGGGCAGTCTGCAGCCCCTCGGACAGACCCCTGCCGCCCCTTGGGGCCTAGTGATGCACACAGCTGCAGGCATAAGCCCTCAGACCAACCCCGGATAAAGTTTCACTTTATAAGTCTAAAAAGACAAGAAACATTGCATACAATTTACAAGTGTTCAGAATAGAATGATTTGACTAGTTTCTAATAAATGTGAAAACTCTCTCTTAGGGAAAGTCTTTATCACTTATTCTATGGACACAGCCACGGAGGTGGTGAAATTCGTGAACTTTTTGTTGGTAAATGGCTTCCAAACTGCAGTAAGTATTTTCTCCAAAGAGAAGACTTGTGAGTACAATGAGGGGCAGCCGGGGGGCGGGGGGGGGGGGGGTCAGTCAGTTAAGCATCCAGCTTAGGCTCAGGACATGATCTCATGGTTCGTGAGTTCGAGCGTCGTGTCAGGCTCTCTGCAGACAGCTCAAAGCCTGGAGCCCGCTTCAGATTCTGTGTCTCCCTCTCTCTCTGACCCTCCCCCGCTCATGCGTGTGCATGCGCTTGCGCTCTCTCAGAAATAAATAAACTTAAAAAAATAATAAAGCAAGTACAATGAGAAGCAAAACAAAATAGCTGTTGAAGTTTTAAACTGTATTATCTGAGTTACGTGATTAGGAGCTAAACGCTTATAGATGTAGGTAATTATTTTCTAGATTTTAAACTCTCCAGAGTCTCCAGCAGTTACTTCTTGTGTGTTTATGGAGGGACCCTGAGAACCTCTGAACAGCTGGAATGGTGGTAGTCGGCGCTGACCACAGACGCAGCTTGGCCCCCAACGCAAAGGAAATGCCAGGCTCTTAATGCACTTTCTACCTTTGCCCTTTTTTTTCTTTTTTCTTTTTTCTTTTTTTTTTTTTTTTCCTAACCAAGCAAGTCTGCTTTGGTTGCGTTTCCTGTGATGCAGGAGGCCTCAGGCTTAACCAGGCCACCTGCTTATTGTACAAGGCCCTTCTGTCGGGCACTAGGCTGTAAGGTCTGAGGTCAAGGCCCACTGTGCACAGCTGCCTTCCACATGTTGATGCAGCAGCAGCCCCTCTGGGCAGGGAATACATGGCCTGATTCTCAGCTGGTCTCGTCTAGTTCTAGGGGAGGTAGACAACCCAGCCCTGCAGTTCACTGTGACCTTGGCCCAAGAAATCTCAGGAAGCACACACTCCTCAAGTTTCCCTGCAGTGCCTTCCAACAGCACAGCCTAAAGTCATGTAAGTTCTTCTGTACGATAAACAAAATACCACAGGAGGCAACTCAAAGGACTGGCTTTCCTAAAACACTGAGCTCACTTCTCTTCCTTCCCAGAGGCCCCCTTTGGGTATTGAGTGATAGTAAATTCTAGAGAGTGCTGAAAAATTAAGGAAAATATCTATGAATAGGAATGTGGAAGGATAAAAAGAATACTTAGCAACTAAATGTCAATTTTAAACATTACTTAGCGTTATTTAACAGTTTTTATTGAATTTATCTTTATTCTATAATTTTTTTTAATAGGAGCATCTACAAGGTTAAAAATGGATACAATTTATACATTCCAACTAAAGTGACCGTATAGAAGCCAACATTTCAATTTCTCATTTCTAGAGAAAGAAAGCACTGCGGCAACCAGGATGTAAAATCAAATTACAGGTCCTAAGGCCAACATTGGCAGAAAAGATCTTACTTTTGGTCATTTCCAAAAAAGCATACTGATTGCCCTTGGAGAAGAAGACAGGTTTTTATGAACTTAAGAGTCAGGGACGCCTTAGACAGAATTTAAATCTGTCCTTAATTTGTATCACCATGAAGCCTTGTATTAGAATCACAGAGCCCCATCCTGGACAGCTAAGTTACTATATTGATACATCAAGAGTCCCTTAGTGGAGAAAAACACTTAATGGGTAATTTAAGGAAAGTTTAATGAAAGGACTATTTTTTTTTAAATTTTTTTTAAATGTTTATTTATTTTTGAGACAGAGAGAGACACAGCATGAGCAGGGAAGGGGCAGAGAGAGAGGGAGACACAGAATCTGAAGCAGGCTCCAGGCTCTGAGCTGTCAGCACAGAGCCCGACGCAGGGCTCGAACTCACGAACTGTGAGATCATGACCTGAGCCGAAGTCGGACGCTTAACCGACGGAGCCACCCAGGCGCCCTAAAAGGACTGTTTTCAAAGTTCTAGGTAAATTTTAAGAAATCCTCAGGGAACAGAGCATATCCTGGGCCTACAGCAACAGCAGGAAGTTGCCACCACCCCTAAGTCTAAAGAGGCAAGGGAACAGTGGCTATGGCAATCTGAAGAGGGAGGCCGTATGGGTTGCTAGGGCTGCCATGAAGTACCACATGCTTAAGCAAAAGAAATTTATTTCCTCATAGTTCTGGAGTCTCGATGTCCAAGATAAAGGTGTCGGCAAGATTGGTTTCATTACAGGCCTCTTCCTTGGTTTGCAGGTGGCCGTCTTCTTCCTGTGTCTTCACTGGTCTTCCCTCTGTGTGTCCTAATCTCTTCTAAGGACACCAGTCCTATTAGATCAGAGCCCACCCTCATGACCCCATTTTACCTTAATCATCTCTCTCAAGGCTCTATCTCCAAATATAGTCACATTGAGTCAGTGGAGGTTAAGACTTCAACATGTGAGTTTTGGGGGAAACAATGTGGCCTTTAACAGCGGCTGTGTGGAAAAGTTGGCCTGACAGATGCTGTGGACTTTGGTAGAGACCTGGAGAGACAAATGAGAGATATCAAGCACATTGTGCCTCCCAGAAAGTCCACCTCAGTAGCAGGGAATAATTTAGGTGCTCAGTTAACAACAAAAATTACCATTCATTGAGTACTTACTTCAAGCCTGGCATGATGATATACCTTTTTCATAACCAATTGTTTTAATCCTCATAACCATCCTTGGAAGTAGGTTTAGTAACCACATATTACAAATAAGGATAATAAGACTTAGAGAGTTTCCGTAATGTTTTAAAGTTATGCAAGCAGGAAGTGCAGAAGCCAACAGTAGAACCAAGAGTAGAGCCAAGCTGCCCGTTCCTTCTCAACCCCAACATTATATTGCTTCTGTCTCATATAATAGAAATGAATTCCTGATACAGTCACAGAGAGCTACAAGCTTTCTCAAGATCACCTCATGTGGTCATTGGCTATCAGACATTTTAAAGCAGGAATCATCCAAACCAAAAGGAAAGCCATTCTATTTTTAATGTGCCATCGGTAAAGAAACATATTCTGAACTTGTATTATATACTGTATGTGTTTGTCAGTTCGGTGTTCTCGAGGCACTTTCTCGTTCCACAGGAAGATCAGAACTAGGTTGAAGAGATAAGGCAGACATAAATGAGTCATACAGTGAACGAAAGGATGTTATAATGATGTGTTAAGTGTCTAACACCACTGGTCACAGCAGGGCTGAGTCGGGTGAGGTGAGGAGGAGGAAGTCAGAGAGTGGGAAGGAGTCACAGAGCAGGGAGGCTTGGGCTATGCTGTTGGGGTGTGGGGGAATAAAGTAGACAGGGCACATGAAACAAGAGGTAAGGCTGGGTCACGGATGGCATGGAGAGCTTACTGAACAGCTAGGACTTCAATGGCGGAGTGACATTTAGGACAACTGATCTGAGAACGGTGTGGCCGAACCAAATAACTCCCTCAAGGACACTCTCCCCGAGTCACCCATTCTTGTATATAATCCCTCTTCCAAACAAGAGCACCTTGTATACATGTACATTACTCTCTGGCTGCAGGGCAAAGCCTGAGCCCCAGAAAGGCCTTCTTATTTGGTCTTCTGAAAAAACAGAAAGTAACTGGTTTTTCTCCCCTTCAAATACTCCTTCAAAGACTTGATATTTAATATCTATCTTTTCAAGGCCCAGGAGGTTCTGCTTCTTGACTTTCATCATAAACCTTTTCCCACCATCTCAGTAATTGTTTTTGTGACCGTTCCTTGGATTTGCTCCAAGTTTCATACAATCCTTCTTAAACGTATAGATCGAAACTGGACATAATACCATAATAATGACCTGGCTAATGCAAGTAAAGCACCAGAACTATATCTCAGTATTTGCACACCACACATCCATTAAAATGCTCCAGAATCATATCATGTTTGCCTTTCATATTACAGATATATATATATGTATATATATATCTGTAATATGAACATATACATATATATACATATATATACATATATACATATATACATATATATACATATATACATATATACATATACATACATATATATACATATACATATATATACATATAGATATAGATATAATTTTTTTTTTTGCTGGCTTATATCCAATTTGGTAGTCTACTATATCTCTCGGATTTTTAAAACATAATTATTGTGTAGCCAAAGATACATTTTGATGTGTACCACTATATCCTAATTACGGATATTAAATACTTAAATGCCTACTAACGTTGAAATAGGGAACACTTTAAGAAAATTGTATTTTGGCTTTTAGACTTATATGCTGCTCTCTGCAAAAAGTGCTCATAATTTTTTCAGTCTTAAATGCATATAGTCTCGTGTTTTCTCTTGCTCTGCAACTAGAGAAAGCTTCTCATTAAGAGCCACCTCCCATGTCTTTTTCTTGTAGATTGACATATTTGAGGATAGAATCCGAGGCATTGATATCATCAAGTGGATGGAACGCTACCTTAGAGATGTAAGTACATTCCAAAATTCTGAGCTCGTTGGCTGGTGGGAAAGACAATGTGCTTATGGGGCTATTTTATGAAAGGAGCAATTGGCAAACCCACCAAGTCCAAAGCCGAGAAAGTCCCAACAAAGCCTCCCTTGTTGGCAGCCGCGCAAAGACCTGGAAAGGAAGGATGGGGTCACCCTTCTGGACATGCACAGGCAGGAAATAACGGTCAAACCAGACACAGGTGGTTGATAACAATCAGAGCAAACAATTTTTTGACCAGAATAGGAAAGGAGGAAATGAAGGCAGGCAGTGGGGAGGGAGTGACAGAATTCAATTTAATCTGAGGCCACCCCAAGTGTTTTGCAGGATTGGGCTCCAGAGCTTTCCCGGGAGGCTCCCTGTGCAGCAACCGTCCCCCCTCCCCAATCCAGGCGCCCACTCGGAGCCCTGTGATTTGTTTTCCACTGACAGAATCTATACTGACCACTGGGACACTTTGTGCTTTAACAAGATAGAAATTGATTGCTGCCAGTGTGTCCGTGTCGGCTGCTTCAGCTGCTGCTTTTGGAGAGAGCAGTGGGGGAGAGAGTCTCAGCAGGCTGGGGTTTTGTGGCTTTTCCTTTTGTCTGCAGCCTGATGTTTGCTTTGTGTGGAAGGGGCTGCTCCTCCTGGCTATGCTGACTCGTAAGCGCTCGTGGCACGCAGGGCAGTCAAGAGTGCAGTAACTGACAGCTTACACCCAGCTGCCGGAGGGAGGGGGCTTTTCAGCGGTGATGTTCCGGAGCCTTTTTGCCACGGTGCACAGTCACTTAGCGATTCCGGCTTTCATTAGACGTTTATTCGTGATGGTTGTGGACAATGGTGGGCAAAACCGCCTCCATTTAGGAGAGCTCCTCACAGAGCCATTTGCTCTGCATTTCAAGGGAGCCGGGAGGGAGACGGAGGGGAGAAGGGGAGACAGGAGCCTGTTGGAGTGGAGGCCAGTGCCTTTCACCCTGGGCAGAGAATGAGCCAGGCCCTCCACTCTGGAGCATGTCACGACGCTTACAGTCCTGCTGGCCAGTTTCCAGCCTGCCTTCACCAAATGGACCACACTTTACACTTCCATAAACATGCTTTCTCTCTCATTAACAGAAGACAGTGATGATAATTGTAGCAATCAGCCCCAAATACAAACAGGATGTGGAAGGTGCTGAATCACAGCTGGACGAGGATGAGCATGGCTTACATACTAAGTACATTCATCGAATGGTGAGTGGTGGGGGGACCGCAGCACCTCGCCGCCCCTCAGAGAGGGGCTCTTTCTTCTGTGAAGGCCTGTCCTTCACTAGAAACCAACTGAAGGCGGCATGATGATGGGTGAAGAAGCCCAGGCAGCAGTGGGGGGTGTTGGTTCTGGCTCTGTCTTAAGTGACCACGTCTCTGGGACTCCGTTCCTATCAGGAGCAAGGGGAGATTCACATGTGCTCTGGAACGTCCAAGGCTCTGGAAAACAATGCTCTGCTGACTTGGTCGTTTACCAACAAATGTGAAGTCCCAAGAGGGCAGGGGACAGGGCTGTGCGGAGAGCGGGCTCCTGCATCTGTGTCCTATTCTGACCCCTGCCTCACCAGAGAGGCAGAGTAGCATAGTGAAAAGGACCCCTGCTGTTGTGTCAGATAGACCCGGTTCAAATTCTGCTTCCTCATGTATAGTTGTGTGACTGCGGGCCAACTGCTTAGGCTTCTCTGTGCCTCCATGTCCCTAATCATAAAATGGGTCACTAATACTTACAGTGTTGTAAAGATCGAATGAAATCGTTCATGACGAACATATCGATGCTCACATGAAGGGAAGGGACTGTTCTTAGCTCGTGATAGATGAGCAACCATCCACGGCCACACCTAAACTATGGGACCTGGTCAAAGTAAAACCGGTGGGAAAAATTTGTAGGAGGTTAGGCGTGCTCAGCATCTGGCAAAACATTCTGACCGAAAATACCACCCAGCTTTGGAATTGGCTGTTTTGTGAGCTAGCAATCTCCCTGCTTTCCAGGATTACAGAGATGCTGTGGAGATGGTCCCTGCTTGACTAGGGCGCTGGACTAGACTTGTGACTTTCAAAATGTCCTGCGGGTGAAAATGTCCCTGATGGGCTCTCGCAGGGGTCAGGGCGGCTCTGGGCCTCCAACCCCAACTCAGCCACAGCTGGTTTGCTTTTCTCAGGCTTGTTTACCAAGGATTTTGAGATTTGAAAAGGCTTGAAATCCACTGGACTAGAACTTGTAAGCTCCATTTCAACGGTAACATTCCACAGGCACCTGGAATGCGCAGAAAGGATCACTGACTAAGACAGGAAGATGAGGCAAGACACCGAAGTGGCCCCGACAGAATAAGTAAGCAGCACAAGGCAGGACACAGGCAGGCAAGGGACATGTAGCTTTACCTCAACGGAAGCTGACTTAAGTCCAGGTCTGTCCTGGGATCAGGAGCACAGGAAAAAGGCAGAGTGGGTGGGGGTTCCCCATCTGTCTCCTCTTCTACCAAGTGCCGACCACTTGTGCGAGTTCAGAACCAACCCAAGGCAAGGTGATGAGGTCAGAGAGTAAGGCCAGGGAATCAGGAGCGAAGCCTCCCCCCTGTTCATCCTCTCCAAGTCTGACAGCCCCCCAGGGGTTGGACAGGGCCCAGAAAAGGGTCACGGCTGGCTGCGGGTGCTGCCATCCCTTGGCTGTCTGCTGCATGTCTGGCTGGCCCCAAAGCACTCAATGTCCTGTCTGCATCTCTAGGAACCTGCCAGTCCTGGGAGCTGACAGCTGGTGTGTGGGAAGGGCTCCAGGTCCCTGCCAGTTCCTGAGGAAACCTGTCAAGGTCTGCTGGTGTGTGGCCACGCCAGGCAGTAAAACGCAGCTCAACCTCAGAGTTTGTCTGACTGTGCCCAGCCATGAACCAGATTGTCTCCAAACTCAGTGTCTGGGGACATGGATGTCTTGGGCCCTTCCTTATCACTGAAGGAGTTGAAGAGGCCTGATACAGAAGTGCCTTCCTGCCCAGCTGGCTGACCTCCAGGTCCCCTCCAGGCAGCAGAAACCTCTAGGACAGAGGGAGTGAAAAGGTACCCAGGAGTAACCGCATTATAGAGCCAGTGACTTCATGAAAAGCCGGTATCTGGAAATACGAGAGAAAACTATAATCCGCTGCTGCTGTCTGGCCCGCCGGCAGGCTGGGTAGCCTAGCAGACAAGCAAAATTTTAGAGACAGGGTCCTGGAAGTCAGAGGTGAAATCCAGGGTCCTGGAAGTCAGAGTGAAAGCTTTACTTTTAGCTTCTAAACCCTGTGCCCTTCCTTTCACGTGTTTGTCCTGATGATTGGTGCTTTCAGTTGCACTGTACGTGGGTCATTTTAAAATATGCTTTTGGTCCTCTGGATTTTAAAAGACAGCGGTTCTGAGAAAACACCATGTGGGGCATTTGTGTGTGGTGTGTGTGTGTGTGTGTGTGTGTGTGTGTGCGCGCGCACGCGTGAGACTGTGTTTGTGGGTTTCTATGGTGACTTCAATAACCAACTGTCACCACTGTCACTCCTCTGTCCTGTTTGTATTCCCCTGCACAATGAAGATTTCTCAGTTTTAAAAAATCAATTGGAAGATGAAATACTTGGGGACACATAATTCCTCATCTCCTTGTCATCAGATGACTGACTGAGAGCTTTGTGCTGGTCACAGGATTGGGAAGACTCCCAACTCCGCTCATCTTGAAAATTCTGGTTTTGATACAGTTCTTGGCAGCTGAGTCTTTTGGGGCCACAGCAGTGTCAGAGCAAACTGGAACCGTGTGGGGAACCTACATGTTCTGTGGCAGGCAGAGCTCCTCACGGTTGACGCCCCCCCCCCCCAGCCTCATCTCCCATCCCCTCCCTAGCCCATCCTGTGCTCTAGCCACAAAGCATTGTTGGCTGGCCCCAACCCCACTAAAATTCTTTCACACCTCCAAAGGTTTGCTCTTGTTGTTTCGTCTGCTGGGAGTGTCCTTCCCCTCTCCCCCACTTCCTCTGCCTGATCAAATTTTTCTTGTCTTCCAGTATCTAAGTGACACGTCCCCTGTAACTCTTCAAATCACTGATGCAGAATGGATGGCCCCCATTTTGGCCTTCCACAGCAATTTGTTTAAACTTTTCACACTGCACCGTGGTTGGCAATTTACCCTTCTTCCTCCGCACCAATCTGCTGACTTTCGGAGGATAGGGATTGTATCCGTAGTGTTCCGGTAAACTGGTTCTCAAAAAAAAAATCCTGATTTGTAGCATTTCCCCATTTCCACGGTATAAATGCTCTCATTAGGGCCCATTTCAAGCTACCAGTGTAAAATCACTGAACAAGGAATTAGGAATGGATGCATACAACTGGCTTTTGTGAGCCGATAGGAGCCAGCTCAGCACACCCTGGAGGGTATCCTAATCTTTGAAACCCAAGGTCGAGCACTGAGTGTGATGTTTAACAGGCCTTCAACAAATGATTCGTGTGTATGGCATGCATGTGTCATGGGGAGCACCTGAAAGGCGAAGTGTGTGGCACTCGAAATCAGAATAAAAACGCTGTGTGGGCCTTGCATGATTGTGGGTGCCATTAACTCCTCCTCCTCATTCCTGAAATCAAACCTTCACATTCCTTCTGTTCCAGATGCAGATTGAGTTCATAAAACAAGGAAGCATGAATTTCAGATTCATCCCTGTGCTCTTCCCAAACGCTAAGAAGGTAAACAAAGAAATAAGCACACAAACAAACCTTAACAATTTGAGCTTTGCTTTGTCTGCTATCTGGGATTTTAAGTGGAAAAGCTTGTGAACTCTTTATCAGTCGTTAGAGATAACAGTGTTACCAGAAAGATCCACAGGTCGTAGCGCGCTCAGCTCAGCTGCATGGATCAGGAAGGTTTTAAGACGTTATCTGATAGACCATCGCTGCCCTAATTGTTCAAACAGCCATTACACACAAAGAAGTAGTTTGTGTTTTAACTCAGGAGAGAAAAAGAGGCTGTTCATCTGATACTTCTTATCTCTTGTACATAAAAGTCAAGATATGTACATTTTTTGCTGACTAGCCACAGAAGTCTTTTGGTGCACATAGCTCAGCTCTCAAAGCTGTAGATGAAAGGAATTAAATCTACACAGTTGCCAAAGTGAGCTTTTGCTGTGGTTCGTATGTGGGTTTTTGCCCCAGAAGAGCAAGTCAGCAGGTTAGGGGAGGGAGGACAGAAACCATCTGAAGCCACGTTCCAGGCTTGGCAAAGGGAAGACAGAGGTGTGGTGGATGTCTTGAGAGTTGGAGCACAGCACCCTGAGCCCAGGCCCAGCTGCACCCTGGAGGATCCCTAAATGTCAGGACTGCCTTGAGACTCAGGTGCTGAAGGAGGGCGAGTCCAGCTGATACGAATGGGATGCCTCCAGTTACAAAGCTCACACCTTGTGCGATGGTATGCATGCCCATCCCTTGCCCAGGCTCTCAAAGCCCCGCTGCAACATCTCCTGACTGGTCTCCCTAGCCATCGTCTGCACCACCGTCAAAGAGGAACATCCAAAATGTAGATCTCCCCTGTCTCGCCCCAGCTTAGAAATCGTGTGGCGGATTCCAACCAACCACGGGATCATATCCACCTTTCTTAGCGTGACAGATGAGGCCCCTGAGAAGAGGGCTGTGCCCACATGCTCAGTCTCCTCTCCCGACCATGTGCACAGTGACTATGCTCGGGTCGTACTGGGCTATTTCAGCATGCCCTCACACCTGCCGTGTTTTTCCATGTTTCTGTGCCTGCGCACTTTCTGTTCCCCCCGCTTACAATGCCCTTCCCTGACTTGTCTGTGTAGTCAACTCTTGCCTATCCTTATATCACCCAATCTGTCTAGCCTCTCCTGACTTCTTGTCCCCTTTGCCAATACTCTTGAGCTCTCTCAGTCGTAGTGCCTTGAGTCAATGTGGTTGGGGGTGGACGCACTGTTGGGAATATGGTGATGGAAAAGGAGACCGACTTTTAGTTGGTTTTATTAATGTTTTTAAAACTTCGTCAGACAGTCCCTTGTGGCCTGTGCTCCCACCTCCTGCCCCCTTGGTACACTATTGCCTAGAAAATAGTTTCTTTACATCTTCATTCACATTCCAACATTAGACTGTGAACTCCTCAAGACAGTAAACTGTGTCTTTTCCTTTGGGTGTCATCAACACCTAGCACCATGCCTGACACGTAGCATGTGCTGCTTCTGGGTGTATCCGGCAGTCCCCAAAGGGATCCCATCTCCTCAGAAAAAAGCCTACAAGGCCCCATGGGACATGGGCCCCCCTACTTCCAGACCTCCTCTCCTACTCTATTTCACTCACTCCTCTCTGGCCACACTGGCCTGTTGCTCCTTAAACAGGCCAGGCACGCCCCCGTCACAGGGCCTCTGCACTGTCTGGACCCAGACATCCACAAAGCTGGCCCCTTCTGCTCTTTTAGGTCTTTGCTCATTTTCTCTGTGAGACCTTTCCTATACACTCTGTTTAAAAAAAAATTTTTTTTTTAATATTTATTTATTTTTGACAGAGAGAGAGAGAGAGCATAAGCAGGGGAGGGACAGAGAGGGAGGGAGACACAGAATCTGAAGCAGGCTCCAGGCTCTGAGCTGTCAGCACAGAGCCTGATGCGGGGCTCAAACCCATGAACTGTGAGGTCATGCCCTGAGCCGAAGTCGGACGCTCAACCCACCGAGCCATCCAGGCGCCCCTCCTACTCGCTCTGTTTAAAGCTGCAACCTTTCAGCCCTGCCCCAGCACTCCCTAGTCCCTTTCTCTGCTTCATTTTTCTCCGAGGCATGTATCACCATCAAACACACTATACGTTTTCCTGATTCGTCGTCTGTCTGTCCATGCCACAGCAGACAGAATGTCCACTCCACGAGGGCGGTCAGAAAGCGCACCCTCACGATCCCCGGCTCACGCTTTGTGCTTTTTGCCTGCTAACAGATCTGCTGGGCTCCTGCTGCTGCAGGCCAGATCTGTGGCTGAAACGAATTAGATTAAGCCCCTAGCCTTGGCATTCTTCTGAAGCCACGAAGGAATTCCCATCACTCTGCGTGACCTCTGTCCTACCCCTTTTATGTGAGGGTGGTGAAAAGCACGTTGAAATGCAAAGGGCAGGTAGCCTGGGAGGCTGACAGAAAACGCCGCGCACATGTGGTTTCCATAATGAGATACTCAGCTTGTACGCAGAGCCAGGAGAGGCTCACATGCTAGCCCTTTCCAAAAGCAAAACAGCACAACTCCCAGGATAGTTCGGCAGGGAACGCCCATGCAGGGAAAGCCGGAGATGTTTGGGAACGGAGCCGGGGATCTGGAATCCAGGTTTTTCTCTAATGGCCTTTACTCCTGTCATTCTCTCTCCCATAGGAGCATGTGCCCACCTGGCTTCAGAACACTCACATCTACAGCTGGCCCAAGAATAAAAAAAACATCCTGCTGCGGCTGCTCAGAGAGGAAGAGTACATAGCCCCTCCCCGGGGGCCTCTGCCCACCCTTCAGGTGGTACCCTTGTGACCCCCACCATCCCCAGAGCCCCAGGGCCATGCTGTGTGTGTGTACTTTACAAGCACTCTTCTAGCAGAGGCTGTTCGTTTGCAGGCCCTCTCAGAGGGCTCCCCCCAACCCCAGAAAACCTGTTCTGCAGAGCATTCTTCCTCCAGAGACCTCCTTTCAGACAGAGGCCATGTTGCTCTGCCTTCCCTACTGCTAACACCCACGGCATGTTGCTCCTAACTGATGTGTCCATTCTGGGCCTCTCACTGCTTAGCGAGTAGATCATATAAATGATGTTGCGATAAATGTAAACGGACCACAAACGCTCTCCCATCGCTTGGGGCTATTTTTATGAGTTAGCCAGATGTTCTTGTGTCCTCAGACCAACCTGATTCGTGTACAGATAATAAAATGTTTACTCTTTTGTAAGACTGTATTTTACTTATCTCAAAGGAGATAGATGTGTATTAATTCCTGATGAGATGGGCAGTTGCTTCCGGGGATGTTAGTAAAGCTGCTTAGATGTAATATTAGATACATGTAACAGACTAGTCTGTATTAAAGGATTAGAGCCAGATAGTTGAACAATCCCTTTTCACATAATCTTGAAAGCTTTATTGTTGCAGTAGAACTTTTTAACAAAACCACTTGTGCAACCACCGTGATACGTGTATACCTAAGAATATCCTCTATGGTCAGGAGTGGCCGTGGATGTAGAAGTTTGGCTGGAATGGTGGTTTGTGTTCTAGTCTTGCTTCTATCACTAACTAGCCATGTGACCTTAGGCAAGTCCTTTCACTTGTCTGAAACCCCGAGGACTCCGTTATAAACTGACATGGACAGGGGTGCCAGGGTGGCTCAAGCACTTAAGTGTCCCACTTTTAATCTCAGTTCAGGTCTTGATCTCAGGGTCATGAGTGCAAGCCCCTCGTTGGGCTCTGTGCTGGGATGAAGCCTACCCAAAACAAAATCACATGGACAGATGTACCTCTAACGGCCCTAAATGGTTGAAGGTCTGGGACCTAAGTTCTAAATACTCTTTTGAGGAATGACTGAGTTGTCATAATTATATCTCCCAGAGGATAAATTTAAATTTTCTTAACAAGGACATTTTCTTCTTTTTAAAATCTCTTCTCTTTAAATCTCTCCAGTCCCTCACATGCATAATTTTAGAAACATGTACACGTTGCTCATCTGATTCCAAAAAACACACAAACATACCTGTATATGAAGTATGTGTATAATCTACATAAACTATTGAGCAAGGTGGTATTACGTTAATTATGGCCTAAGTAGTAAGCTAATATGAAGATGGGGGGGGGGCGGGGAGGGGGGAGGGGTGCTACTGCTTCCTGGTACCGATCTATCTAATCTCTTAAACAAGGCTCAATTGTGCTGTGAGATAGTTCAACCTTGGTATGTCGCCACAGAGAAAAGACAAATATGTACCAACTATAAATAAGCAAGTTTGCTAATGAATTGTAAAGAACACTAGTTTCATTTACGTTGTAACCTAGAGGTCTTCGGGGTGGTAAGGTGCATGTCTTTGTGTTGAAAAAAAAAAAAACAAAAAAAACCAGGGAAAGGATAAAAGCTAGTATCCCTTAAGGAATCATTTGTAAGACGAACACAAGCATCTTTAGCTCCGTAGCATTTGAGACCCGGTTGAACTCTCTCTTGTTTGATTAACTCAAAATGCCTAAGAAAACACCCCGAACACAAACTTCAAGTCTTTCTCTCTTTTTAAATCTTTTTTGGAGGTGACACGATCATTAAGGATTCACACCCTTGTAAATAAAATGACATCCGTAATTACTACCCTCAAATGTGTCTAGTTTGCAAGGTTTAATAATGGGACGTTGTTACCCCTCCTCCCTTCGGAGACCTGTCCTGAGCCCTCAGCCACTGTTCCTACCCGGGGTTATTCCCTGGTGTTCCACAAACATTCATTAAAGTGTTACAGCTGGGAGCACTGGTAGCAAAACAAACAAACAAAAAGTAAACACACACACACACACACATACAACACCTGGCCAAGTGATGAAAGTTGGACCCTTGAAGTTTCTAAGAAATTTGATGACCACGGATATCAAAGGAATTTTAACAACTATTATAGAGCACTGACACTAGGATTAACACTTGGTTTATTTAGATGTTATCCCTGTCCTCTGCGTTCATCTGCAGATATTTTGGGGGTGGAAGTGAGGTAGGGCTGACTCAGTAAAAATAACCCTTTAGCCTCAAGGCTTGATTCAGACCAAAACTGATTTTAGCAGTGAGGTGTGCACAATGCAAGGTCAGATTCTTAAGTCTAATATTTAGTGACTCACTTAAAATTTGAAGTGTAATTTTTTAATTTCAGTGACCGGCTTCAAAATCTATGCCGAGTTCCTTTGACTTCTGTATCATTTAACGGCATCTCAGTGCATGGCTACAATCTAAGTATTGGACTGGCTACTTCTCAGTTCAGTGCTCAGAAAAATTATTGTTGTTGATACTCTTTTCTTTTTTTTTTTTCCTATTAAAGAAATCACCTACTTAAAGATTGGGTTTTTCTTAGTCATCTCAGCAAGGGAGGAAAGCCCTCGGCTCTGAGCACTCCAGACCTTGTTTCATGATGTTTTGCCAAGAGCATTTTTCTTAACCTCAGCCACTTCATTAGCCACCTCCACCCACTTTGCCAAACACCCCATTGTCACCATCACCTTTGCCAAAGGGATTGCAAAAGTCCTGTGATCATTGGGAAATGATCCAGAAAGAGTTTCTCAAAACACAGGATCTTTCTGTTTCTTCCTAATGAACCAAGAAGAATCAGTGAGACCCACCTCCTAGCGGCAAATGAAAAGAGGAGGAAGGTTAGACTGTGGGAAAATGGCACAAAGAAAAAACGCCTCTCATCCTGAAGAATTAGGCACTACGTTTCAAGATCAGTGGCTCTATATGAGCCCAGGAAATAAACTAAAACAAAAACCAGAAAGGAAGAAAGAAAGCACAGAAATAAATGTAATTCGTAAATCATTTATTTCTGGAACCATTTGGAATTTTCCATCTGAAAAGGACCCGGGAAATCCAGCACCTCTACAGTGTGGTTTCATGCATGAGAAAAGTGGGACCCACAGACACCTAAGCTTGTTTAAGTTTGCCCCGTGGCTGGAACCCAGATAGCCTGATTTCTAGTCTGCAGACATTTGTTTGATAAACCTAGAAGGCTTTCTGGCTTTTGGTTGGAGATTTGTTCAACAAATGACCCAGGGTCTCCTGGAGGTAAACTGAGCCTCGTGAAAGAAGGACACCTGAGGGAAGATGCATCTCTGTCCTCTGGTGGCTGGAGGATTAAATGATCATGTTGCAACTTGTTCTGTGGGAAATTCTTGGGGGAATTAATTATTGCTGTGATTATATGGAGTGTAACTTTTCTTGAAGTAGTGTGGCATATTTATTTTATACTAGTATTATATAAAACCAAAGCACAATTGAAAAGATCTTGGCACCTCCCTGAAGCTTCCAGATACAATCTGCTATTAGATCGATTTTGTTTCAGTTTTATCTGGCCAATCTCCAAGGCAAAAACAATGAAACATGCTTTTATTTTTTAAATACCGTGGTATTCATCTTTCCCTCCTGCTTCTGATTCTATAAGAGTAGCGCTTGTTGGAATAATACATAGCTGTTTGGAAAATGCATTACCTTTCAGAAGAAACAAGGAGAAAGGTGTGGGTTATAACTCTCCTGTGGGTGGGGGAGGCTTCAGGAAAGGTACGTTTTATCAGGAAGCACAGCAACAACACAAAAGAGCCTCGCCCAAATGGCTAGCAATGGTCCTAGGACAGGAACATAGTTCCTAAGGTAGCATGTTCCTAACTTCGTGCTGATTTGTTCCATTTTCTTTAAAAATTTTTTTTTCTCTTTTTTAACGTTTATTTATTTTTGAGACAGAGAGAGACAGAGCATGAACGGGGGAGGGGCAGAGAGAGAGGGAGACACAGAATCCGAAGCAGGCTCCAGGCTCTGAGCCATCAGCCCAGAGCCCAATGCGGGGCTAGAACTCACGGACCGCGAGATTGTGACCTGAGCTGAAGTCGGACGCTTAACTGACTGAGCCACCCAGGCGCCCCTCTTTAAAAATTTTTTTAATGTTTATTTAGTTTTGAGAGAGAGAGATAGAGCATGAGGTGGGGGAGGGGCAGAGAGAGAGGGAGACACAGAATCTGAAACTGCTCCAAACTCTGAGCTGGTCAGCACAGAGCCCGATGGGGGCTCAAACCCACAGAAAGTGAGATCACGGCCTGAGCCAACGTCAGACGTTCAATTGACTGAGTCACCCAGGTGCCCCTGATTTGTTCCATTTTCTATCGGAAAAAGCTTTTGGATAGAATCGCAGCGTACTTGGTAGGGGCTGGGAAGCTTTCACGGACCCTGGGCAGTCATGTGCTGCCCACTCGCCTGCATGGACCACAGCCCCTCCACCTGTGACTGCATTTGCTCCCAAGTCCTCAGCCTCAAGCAGAACAGGTGGGACCTGTAAGAGCAGCACTCCGTGTAGCCGAGTTCCATATTTGACTTCTCAAGGAGCATATGAGCATGGGTCTAGGTCACACTTCCCAGGGCCTTTAGGAAGTGGTATTTGAGCCTTTGCTAAACAATAAGAGCATCTTGGACCAAAGTGTACCTGGGAGAAGTGTGCTGGGCCTCCCTGCTCTTTTCTAGAAACACTCGCGGGGAAGGAATAATTGCAGCCCCCAGATCTCCCAGCACTTGTAACGAAAGCCACCAGGGCACACATTTCTTGTCCCTTGCCTGACCTCCCTCTGCTCCCTTCACCAGGAAGGCGCTGATGGTTGACGGCAGCTGGGGAAAGACGGGAGAGGGAGGGAGAAGGCGCGAGAGAGAACTCATGCCTGATGGATCCCATTAGGCTTAGTGTGCAAAGCAAGTTGAGATGAAGTAGCTGCTCTGGTATGCGTCCAAACTGCTGTTCTATTTTTAGTCTCTCCCCCCGTGCTTCTTAGCCCCGCATTGTCCGCCTGGGCACCTGGATCGGCAGCAAAACGTGGAACCGAGCCACTCATTTGTAAAACTGGAAGGAAGGAGGCCATTGATGCAGGGCTCGTTTATCGCTGACGGGGAAGGGGGACCTGGAATGTTAATGAGGACGGCTCTCTGAAGCATGCCTTCACGGTTAGCTAGGAGTTCAAAGGAGAAGGGAGCCTCAGTCCTGCTCCCAACAAATGTAAACCGTTGATAGAGGGAAGGAGAAATCAATTATGCTGTCGCGGGCTTCCATGGCATTGTGTTGGAGTTGTTAGAAAAGGTAGGACAAGGACCAGATCTCAAAAGGAAACAAAGCCACATGGCCTTGAAGTATAACGAGTTTGCCATGGCAACTGATGGAAATGAGCCTCCCGGGCACTGAGCAGGTGTGTTATCTT